GGGCTCCAGCAAACAAAGATTGATACCTTGCGAAGCAGTGAAAAGCCGTATGCCCTGACACAGAAACCAACTCAGACCGCTGTGAAGGGAACCCGCGCCTAAATTGTGTGGATATAGCCCCTAGACCCATCCATTTTAGTGTGATCAGTTTCTGGCACATTTCGTCCCATACGCAATGCCGGCCGACGTACCCGACCTTTTCTTCTTACAGGCTGAACACAATAAAAAATTGTGTTAGACGTTACACCCATTTCGAGCATATGTTCCTGAGCATTGTAATGGCCGTTGGCAACAACACTTCAATAATCCAATAGCAGCACTTTGAGGAGGTCCACCTCTTGTGTTGTGCCGGCAACATGGCGCAGACAACTACGTAGCCTGTCATAGCGCGCGCTTGGATCAGTCCCTCACGAGACGTAAAGGCCTGAGCCGTCACGGCGCCTAGATCTGGAGAAAACTCGTACAGCTGGCACATCCAAGGAATCAATAATACTTCGACGTACAATCTATTGCGACACATGGAGAGCGTCAGCTTGAAGTTTTTGCCGTCGGTAAGACGCGCAACAACTGCACAGAGCCTGCCCCGATCTTTCCGTAGCAACAGCAATGCGAGCTGAGATTCAAAACTCCACAATGTAGCAAGCATGCCATCTACCCCCCTCTGCTCTTTTTCCCATTCTGTTTAGTATCCAGGCGCTCCCTGCGACCGGCATAAACACTCCTCAAGCTGTCATCTCTTAGCGCGGGAAACGCGCTACGGGGTGACAACCTGGTGGAATGCAAGCGGGTGTTCCACCCACTTGCACTCATTTGAGCGAGCACAAGTGAACCAGCTACCCCAAGCATATTCAAGATGTTCTAGTCGGTACACCAGGATTTCACTACCCGGAGATTTCTTCTCTAGAGGCTAAACGCCAGGAGGAAGCGGCCAGCCGACGTTACCAAGCTGTGCCACATACATGCATGCATTGACCTGGACCCTTCCCAAGGTCGCAGGGGAGAAATATTTCCGACAATAAATAAATGGAGATGCAACAAGATTGCGTGGAGCAGCAGGTAATGCAGCAGGCGATGTGAACCACGGACGTACTACTGGCCACAGAAGCACCACTGCCTAGGCGTTTCCAATATGCATAGT